ATTGTTTGTTGTACAATATTAATTTTATTTACAAAGATAGTATAAATTATATAATATTACACAATCAATTTTCATCCAATAAATTCGTTAAAACTTATTGTACACCCCCAGCGCAGGTTAAACATCTACACCTCCGGTGTAGGTTAAGGATGCCCGATTTTAATAGCTTACCTCCCAAATATGATTTCCCTAAAAAAAAAAAAAAAAATTCCCGTAAAAAATGAAATTCGGAGGGTGTGATACAGAACTCGATACGAACGCTTGAACGTTTTATTTAAATTTTTAAAAACAAAATCGTTATAAATTTACAAAACGGGTTCTATTTATATAAAATCACGTGCCTTATTTTAAAATAGCCAATAATATTCAATGTTATTAATGTTCCAAAAAAATAACGCGTGACGTATAAAAAAAATTCTTGGGAGGTTGAGTCATTATAACGAAAAACATTTCATCCATATTACAATAAAATCACATGGAACGAAAACAATTTATTAGCAATGCTCAACATGTAACGATGAATAACAAGGAATTTCAACACCAAAAAAATATTCCAGAGTTCTCATCGTTTGAACACCAAAAAGAAAATATATTACCAGTAAAACAAGGTAGAAGTGCAGCTGCTTTGTCCCAAATATTTTCAAGTGAGCCTTCTGCACTTTATACAGAACTTCAAGCTGGTCATGACAAGTTTAATGCGGAACTTGAAAATCTTGACGAGCTTGATGATCCTTTTGATGTTTACGATCGTTACATTAAATGGACAATGGAGAATTATCCACAAGCGTCTGGTCCTCATTCAAAAGTGTGTCAACTTCTGGAGCGGGCATCAAATAGTTTTATAAATGATGCGCGATATAAAAATGATCCTAGATATTTGAGGTGTTGGCTACAGTATTCTAAACATATTAGAAGACTTAAGGAACATTTTGCGTTCTTAAAATCTAATGGAATTGGATTAGACTTGGCCACTTATTATGAGGAATATGCCGAATTAATGGAAGAGATGAAATGGTGAGATAACCTTTTCTATGTATATATTTTTAAATAGATAAAGACTAATTTTTTAAGAAATAAAAGCTTTAAAGAAGCGAATGAAATTTTTGAAACGGGGATAAGTCGAAGGGCACAGCCACTTGGACGTCTGAATAAGCGTTACAAGCAATTTCTAACACGGATGGCGTCGAATGGCGTAAACTTTAATACTTCAGTAACACAATTAAATCTAAATCCACGGCGAACTATCCTTGGTTCCAAATCTTCAGCATCCTCTACCCAATCACAACCAATGAATGTCTTTCATCAAAGGAATCCAACTTCACAAGTTGTTTCCGATGTTGGGGGTACAAGTGTTATTTCAAATATTAACAATAATAGAGGAAAGTTAGATATTTTCTACGACCCTAATGGTGAAGTAGGAAATGCTGCATTAACATCCACAGATAGCAGTACTTCAACATGGAATAATTATGGAACATACTTGACTAGGAAAAAAGAAGATATTCGAGAAGCAGAACAATGGAGAGGGGTGACCTTGCCTCAAAATAAAAAGGTTGACACGCCGATGGTTGCTAAGCTTGAAGTTTATCACGATAAGGTTTGTGAAAACACTCATCATCATATTTATACTGAACTATTGTGATAATTACATTACTCATTTATTTTAGTCTGTTGAACATGGTTCAACAAGTGTTCGCCAAGGTAAAGAACAAGTTAATCAAAAAGAAACGACATTTCAAGAGAAAATACAAAAACAGGTTAAACGATATGAACTAGGACAGAAAGAAAGATGGAATATAAAAATTAATGATTTTTATGATGAAAATGACGGTGAAATTTCCTTCGAAGAGAAGAGAGCTAAGGCTTTGGAATTACTAGAAGTAAAATTAATTGAAGACAAGTTTGATTATTTGAAACCTCAAGAGAAGAATATAAATGATAAAAAAAAGATGAGCTGTAATATTGAAAACACTTTAGAAACGAAACATCTTGTAACAGAGGCTAAGTCACCAGTTAATGAAAAGATCACAATAATTCAACCAAGGAAAAAAGAATGTAATGATATTGACGAATACATTATACCAGCTCACAAGATAAATCGATTATGTAAGTTTAGGTTTTTATAAATTGATATTTTGCAACTGAAATACGCTTACATTCATACAATTATTAGCGTCGGATATGAATGAAATCGTCAAAAAACCATCTCCGACTATATGTACAAAGGCTGCATTATCAGACATAATAGGGATGTTTACATTTACTCAACCATCAAAAGATATTCCAAATCATGATATTGATGAAGAAAATGTCTCTCCAAATTCTAATGTTGTTCATAAGCAAATAACGAAGAGTAATAATATTCAAATACCATCAAAGATTTCGCAAATTGATGGGCGTGAGGAAGTTGAAAATAATTGTGAAAATAAATCGAAGAATTTTGATACTATTACAGCAACAACAAATACCACTCCATCACATGAGTTCGAAAAGCATGTGCTCACCGAAGTAAAATCTTTTACAAATTCATCAGGATTCGGCGATACTAGGGCTGATTCGCTGTCTCCAATAGAAATTACAGAAGAAGACCCTTTGGAATCACAAACTTTTCCGAAGCTTTCAAATCCGTGTAATCCACTTGACCGTAAGGTCATTGAACAATTTTTGGCCGTCATTCAACCACCCGTAAATCGTTATAAAGGATTTTATGACGCTCGGTCACATACTTTCAATCATGGATTAAAGATAGAAGAAATTGCGCGTTCTTGGAAAGTACAAAGCCGACGAGGTACAAATGCCTTGGTAAACGATGATAAACCTGTCATATTCTTTAATGATTCGTTCCTTATACGCCAAAAAGTTGACGAAGGTGGATACGGGAAAATCTATCGTGTTTTGGATATGAAGGATTTTGTAGGTGATCAGGACGAAAAGAAATCATCACGTGCATTAAAAATCGAAACACCTTCAAGTGCCTGGGAATTTTACATTATACGACAATTACAAGAAAGAATTATCTCTCCGACTATTGACTCTATTATTTCTGTACATTCTTTGTATCGTTACAAGGACGAAAGTTATATGGTGATGGAATTTTGTCACCAAGGGACGATTTTGGATGCTATTAATAAAGCTAAAAAGGATAACTCGCAGATGGATGAACTTTTGGTATTTTTCTTTACAGTGGAACTATTGAAAACAATGGAATCAATTCACCAGGCCGGAATAATACATGGTGATATCAAAGCAGATAACTGTATTTTGAGGTTGGAACCAATAGAAGAATGGGAATCTATATATGATCCATCTGGAACGAATGGGTGGTCAAAGAAAGGGATTAAATTGATTGATTTTGGGCGTTCTATTGACGTGACATTATTTTCTGATGATATGAAATTCATAGCCGAGTGGGTAACGGACGATCATGATTGCGTTGAAATGCGTGAGGGCAGGCCCTGGAAATGGCAAGCCGACTATTATGGGCTGGCCGGAGTTGTACATTGTATGCTACATAATCAATATATGCAAATTACTCCAATTATAGCAGAATCGAATAATTTGATGTCCGGACCAGCAACAATGGCGGTGAAAAGATATAAGCCAATACTTTCATTTAAGCGATATTGGCAAGGAGAACTTTGGCAAAAGTTATTTGATTTGCTTTTGAATCCTTTATTAGCGAAAAAAGATGGATTAATGCCAATTACGCAAGAATTGAAAAATATTCGTGAGGAATTTGAACAGTATTTAATACAAAATTGTGAAAAGAACGGAAAGAGTTTAAAAGGATTATTGAAAAAATTAGAAATGTCCTGGTAGACTCTTTGAATTAAAAAAGCTAGAAAATTTTTTATAGTTTTTATATTAACGTTAATAAAAACTGCATTCTTTTTATTCTATTTATAAATAATGTATTAAATTAACCTTTATCAAATAATAAATAAATTAAATATTTCGTTGAATTATTTCAAATATATATGTAATGATCAATAAGAAAACTATTCATCAAATTCTTTATTTACACCAGTAATATTATATAAATCGCTAGCAGAAATGCCTTGTAATTCAAATCCTTTCATTTTGCTAATTTCGCCGGTTTCTGATTTTTCTAATTCGGTAGTTTTTTGTTTTATTGTATCTCTTAATGAAGAAATTTCTTTTTCAAGATTCGTTTGATTTATAAAAATAAGAAATTTTCCATTTATATAATGAGTTTAAACAAATTATTCAATTAGAAAATGAAGACGAACCTTTTTCGATATAAGATTTAACATTATCTTTTTCCAATTTGATAAAGAACTCGCCAAGATTTACCCATACTTTTTTTTGAGATTTTAAAGGTTCTTTCTTAAGAATATTTAACGCTTCTCTATTGGTATTTCTAGTTCTATCATAATCTATAATCTTGAAAAATCGATAAACTTGTAAAAATTGGTGTTAGCAAGGAGAATTTAAAATAAAATAAGTAAATCATATACCAATTGCTTATTTGTTAAAATGTCTTCGGCCAACCGTTCATGTTCAGAGAGAACTAAAAATGTGAAGAATCAATTTTAATTAAACATTCGAAAATGGGAGAAATGACGACGGGTGGAAAACGAAATTACTTGAAATGTATTCCATTAGCGTTTTTTTTTTAAAGCGAGCCCGCGTTGATATCTCCAATTTGTGTCAGTCGTCGATTGAAAACGTAATCCGATTACGCTGTTGATGATCTACAATCAGGATACCAATAAAAAACTGACTTACAACAAAGGGCAAAATTTTTTGTTCGAAAAACTTTTTCTCTTTCATTTATATCAAGAAATAATTTAGTCACCATGGTAAAGGATTTGCTTCTCTCTTCAAAGCTTTATAAAGTTTCGTTTCGTTTGTTTGTTTATTAATGGAAGTATTTTTTTTTTTTAAAATAATCGTGAATTATAGTCGATTATGGATTATAATGGTGGGACTGTCCTAGCCATGGCTGGGAAGAATTGTGTTGTCGTTGGTTCTGATAAACGCCTTGGAGTGCAAAATCTTACATTATCGACTGAATTCCAAAAAGTATTTCCGGTTACAGAAAAATGTTATATTGCACTTCCTGGTTTAGCTACTGATGTTCAAACTTTGTAAATATCAATCATTATCAGCAAATTCGACAGATGAAAATATCAATGATTGATCATTTCTTTTTATTTTAGATCGGAATTATTTCGTTTAAAATGTAACATGTATAAATTACGTGAAGAACGTGAAATCGAACCACTTACATTGGCAAATATGATATCCTCAACATTGTACGGAAGAAGGTAAATGTCAACGTCCAAAAAAAAAAAAATAATAATAATAATAAACATAATAATAATCATCATAATAAATTGGTTAAACTTTTGTATTTCTTTTTGAAAAATAGGTTTGGCCCGTATTTTTGTGAGCCAATAATTGCCGGTCTTGACAAAAATAATAAACCACATATCTATGGAATGGATTTGATAGGATGTCTTAATTTTCCAGATGATTTTGCTGTTGCTGGATGTGCAGAAGCTGCTTTATTTGGAATGTGTGAATCTTTATGGGAGCCTGATTTAGAACCTGATGAGTTATTCGAAACAGCATCACAGGCTTTGTTGAGTGCCGCTGATAGAAATTCCATAGTGGGATGGGGCGCTGTTATTCACACAATGTAAGTTGTAATGGTAAATATAGATTGATTGATTCGCACAATTTTTTAAAACAATTTCAATTCACTAGTACTCCAGATCGAGTCATCACTCGCACCCTCAAAACTCGTATGGTAATATATTATATTTCATATATTCGATTTGACATATGCTATATTATTCTAATTAATTAATGTTTTCAAATATAGGATTAAAAAAAAATAAAAAGGAACGGAATTTGTTTTTTTTTATTGTAATTAATAAAAGTCAAATATATTCAATGTTGTAGTAAATTTATTGTATTAACTTAAGGTGCGAATAATTATAAATAATCTCGCTAGATGACCTGCCTATCAGATAATGCAGAGGAAATTATATCCGTAATTTCCTTTAATTCATCACCAAGATCCAATAACACTCCTTAAAATGAAATGAAGGTATCAATATTCTCTTATCTTCTCATTGAAAAAATAAGAATGATAGAGATATAAACCACCTTACCAGTATTAGAATCCGAATCAGCAACCAAAGTAGTGATTAAAGGTGTATGATTAAATTGTACAATTTGAAAAATTCCAAACAAACTTACAATGGATTTATTCTTTTTCAATCCTAATTTGGATGCCTTAATGAAAAGTAGAGAATTAACTTTTTACTTGAATGCCAAAAAAGAGAATGCTGTAATTTACCTGATCACTTATTACAGCGAATGTTGTTGATAATGCTGGTTCCAGAACTCTCTGTGATACATCATTTGATACGGCTATTTGATTTTCATAAAAGAAAGGGTCTTTGTTAGAGGTATGCAAAAGAGAAATGTACGGTTGGAATTCAAAAGAAATAATACAAGTTACATTTGATCAATATAACCCCATCCCTATCTGTAACGGTTACAGCTTTCAACCCTTCTATTCTATTAAAAAGATTACCATGTCAGGTTAATAAAAATATAAACAAAAAACAACAAAAGAAAAGAGAGGGAAAGTTGCCTTGTTAATAACTTTTCAAAATATCCTTGTAATTCCTTTAAAATAAAAATAGTGTTTATATAAAATAAATGATAATAGAATAAGTTAATAAAATTATTTACGATAAAAATAATGTAAATACCTCACCCATTCTTTATTTCTTCTTTTGAGGTAAATACTTTTAGACGAAGAACTAAGAAATGGGGCCTAGTCTTCGAAATAGAACACCAATCTCATATATTACATCATTGCTATATTGCTACAAAAAAGGTTTATCTTATCTGATCTAAAAAATCTTAAAAATAAACGATAATCAAAAAATTTTTTTTAATTCACCTCGATTAAAACTTTGTCTTGTTTTAAACGTAATGGTTCATCAAAAAAGGATTCAAATAAGAGTCCCCTCTTCTTCTTCAAATATAGGACCAGGCTTTGATGTACTTGGAGTTACATTATCATTATATTTAACATTAACCATTGACATTCTACCAAAACATCATGAGTTGTCAAATTACAATAAAGATATAACATTAACTTATAGTGGAGAAGGTAGTTCACACGTACCTTCATCCATTCACCAAAATTTAATCACAAAAACGGCATTATACGTATTAGCTTCAAATGATATCCACGGATTTCCATCACCAATGATCATACATGTTAATAACGAAATTCCTTTCGGTAGAGGTTTAGGTAGCAGCGGAGCAGCGGTTGTCGCTGGTGTAATGTTAGGGAACGTAGCAGGAGATCTTGGGTTGACTAAAGACAGATTGTTGGATTACTGCTTAATGATCGAGAGACATCCTGATAATGTTACCGCCGCCTTGATGGGTGGATTTGTTGCCTCTTATTTACGTGAATTGGATCCTAAAGATATTGAAGCTCCTGTAATTCCTCATTCTGAAACCTTGGAACGTGAAATCCCCACCAATAATGAAGATAAGGCAAAGGATGGACAAGAAGTATTGATACCAATTGTACCTAAAGGAATAGGACATTATATTAGATTAAATTGGGCTAATGAGATCAAAGCCATTACTATCGTTCCTCAATTTGAAGTCGCTACGGCTACCGCTAGAGATGCGCTACCACCAACCTATGATAGACAGGATGTGGTAATGTATTATAAAAAGTTTTCCTCCTCCTTTTCTTCATTCAATCCATTAAAACTTGATACTATGAATTTCTTTTTCAGGTATTTAATTTACAACGATTAGCCGTTTTGACAACTGCCTTATCACAGTCACCACCAGATGCTGATTTAATATTTCAAGCCATGCAAGATAAGATACATCAACCTTACCGTAAACATTTGGTAAGTTGACTTTCTTGATGTAGAACGTTGTTAAAATATGTTTGAACAATTTTAACTTTCGATAAATTTAATTTATTTTTAAAAAGATTCCGGGATTATCAGAAATTTTATCAAGTGTAAAACCGACATCACATCCGGGATTATTAGGCATATGTTTAAGCGGAGCGGGACCAACAATTTTAGCTTTAGCTACTAATCATTTTGATAAGATTTCCGATACAATAACAAAAGTTTTTTTAAAACATGATATTCAAGTAATTGTAAAAGTATTAGACATTGTTGATGATGGCGCTCAAGTCGTTGAGTGTTAAATTATAAAATTATAAATCAGGTCTAACAAAATCACCAGGACCATACGGTTCACTCGTCAAAGAAGTAAGACCACTTTTAGGTTCACAAGTAAGGCGACCGGTTTGTGGTCCAGGTTTTGGTAAATTACCTCGTTTTAACGATTCTAATATTTTTATAGTCGTGTCGGGTGTTAGATCCTCCTATATTACACCACAAATATTAGAATCAATAAAGAATCGTCAAAAACATCATTTAAGTATACATACATAGTAATCATCATTAATGGCCAATACGGGAGCATTAACACAAGCACCGGCACATTCAACTTCTACCAAAGTAATTAATTTATCAGGAGTTGTTTCACCTGGTTTAATCTTCAAATGATTTTGAATTGTCTCTAAAATTTCCGTTGAACCACATAATTGACATGGTGTCGTCGTACAAAGTTGTAGAAAATATTTTCCAACCGGTTCTCTATTCGTGATAATTTCAAATTAAATAAAAAATAAAATAAAAATGAAAATGAAAATAAAAAGAATACAGAAGTACCGATTAAACATGGTGTAAAATGTGGCAACTTCGTAAACACGCATAGGAGGTATTTCTAATAATTTAGATACAGTGTTCATCACCGAAATACTTGTCCAACCCAATTGACGTTGACCTAAATCTAATAAAGGTATAACAGCCGCTTTCTTATATTGTGGTGGATAGCGTGATATAATTTCTTTTGCTCGCTGCAAATTTTCTTCCGTGAATTCGAATGGAATTGAGGGATTATTTTCTGGTGTGTTTCGGTGCTATTTCAACAACAATTTCAAAAGAGAATTAGATTCATTTAGTTTTTTTGAATAAACCTGGCGAAAATATTTTTTTAAAATACTTGCAAGAAATAATTTATCAGAAGGTGTGAAAGCACTAGCGTGGAAAGATTTTATCATTGACCCCACGGGAAGAGATATCTTTACACCATCCGCCAAGGCATTATTAGTACTATTTTTCAATAGGGAACTATTAAAAGGACTCCTAATTAAAGTCCTAGCAACATTTATCAAAAACATTTTTAGAGATCGGAAGATCAAGTCAGTTATCAGATCTTTTTTATACAATGGTAGATCGACAGCCTGCATGCATATACGCGCAAATATAAATGGAGTAGGAATTTTTCGTTTCGCCTTTATAGGTCCTTTTCCTTTGTCAATTTTCACAAATTGAGAACATTTTTAAAACATTATCTTTCTCACAATTTTTTTGTAATACACGTTTCAAAATGTCCCCGATATCCTGTTCGTAATAAAAAAAAGTTACAATTCGTGCTTTCTCTTTTTTTTTTTTTTATTTTTTCTGATTTTTTTTTTTTCACGACTTCATTGAATACAGATACTCCGGTGGAAGAATTAAAACCGGATCAACATCAAGTTAATTTAAAAGTAAAAGTGATTGCACAAATCATATTAGGAGAAGTTGATGATTATAGTAGTTAAGTGTCAAAGATAAACTAACTTGAATTGATATATTATAATTTTTTGTTTGAATATGAAACAAATTTCTTAATTCTCCAAATTTTCAATTCTAAATTCTTAATCTCTAGCTTGGAATAAAACGAAAGTGGCGGAAATTCTAATTGGGGATTCGACGGGATGTATAATCATGAAAGCAATAAACGGTATCAAGATGGTTTTGTAGAATTCAAATAAAATTTTCACCATTTTAAAATATCACATTTAAAGAGAAAATTTCATTTCATTATTTTAGGTCAAATCAATATATTACAACCGAATGCCATGGTGCTCATTCATAATGCAAGAGTGGAAATGTATCGTGGATTTATGAGAATAGTGGCTGATCAAAACATCAATGCAGAGATTAAACCCGTCAAAGATAACTGGATTATGATAAATGACATTGAAGATGATGGTATTAGCAACAGCAACAACAACAACAACAACAATAATAATAATCATAATAATAATAGTGGTATGGAAGTTAATTTAGAGAAGAATTTATCGTTAATAGAATATCAATACGTTCCCCATGTCGTATTAAATGGAGACATGTAAAGATTTATAAATATATAATAAAGTTTTTATAGTAGGTTTATATATATATATTACATATACTAAAGAAATTTTTTTTTTTATTTGCATTTTAATTTGATGACAGAAAAATTTTGAATCATTTTAAAAATACATCGGGATATATATTTATTAATATATGTTTGAAAATACACGTGCAAGAGCACCGTGATCGTCAAAATTGCGCAAAAAAATGTATTAATCATATGGCGCAGTAATAGTTATCAAACTAAGATTTTGGCAATTACATAATCGGATCCATAGAATCCGCTATTAACGAGAAAAAGATTTGCCTACTTGAATCTTAAAGTCAGATGGCTTAGACTCTGGTCATGAATAGGCGGAATAGATGACGGAGAAAAAGAATTTAATCCGTGCTATTTTTACCTATAGATCTTTCAGGCTCTACCCGCCCTTTTTTCACAGCTTAAAATGTCTTACGACCATTACACATTATTTTTCGTCTTGTATATTATTATTATTATTTTGTAAAGCAATAAAAAAAAATCCTTGAAATACATATCGCAATGAACTAATACTTTATATCTACATAACAGTAATATATAGAAATAGATTTGCTCCTTTTCCAAATGATTTTCAAATGATTTTTCTTTTTTTTCAAATAATTTTGATGATTCTAGGTAACACCTAGCATCATATTTCAGCAGAATGCCTATAAGTAGACATTTTGTTTTTACGTATATTCCACCAGCCTGCGATTAAATTAATATTCGTAAATAAAAAATTATGGTAAAAGTGAGCAACATTAAGCTTCATCTTTAATTGAGAATCAGATGGCCACAGAGGTCGTTTAACATATTCATCTTCACAAGTTAAATGAACAATCCAAGTTTCATCCGCAGAAAGTAGATTTGCATATTCAAGAGCCCGTTGAAAATGTTCAATAAGATCGCCATTACTTGCCGTCGCTAAGAGTTCAAGAATGATTTTTTGGCCATAAGGTGTATCTATGACTATGTCGCTATATCTATGTTGACGTTTACTACTTTTATTGTATACAAGATGCCATTGACCTGTAATTGATGGGCACCCCTTCAGAAGCAAGGCTTTCTGCACTATTTATGTCAATAGTGACTTTTACTTCATGTCCAAAATCTACTAGAAAATTATTCCGAAAAAAATTCAACGCATCCTTATTTTCAGGACCCTTGAGAGAATTGACCAAATTTCGGAATGTTTGGTAATCGACCATCGCATCCATTAAAGAACTGACTTTGTAGCATTCCCAAGTTTTATAGGTTAAGAGTCGTTTATTTAGCTTTCTGAGCAGATTATCTTCAATTGCACGTCCACAAATAGAAACAAGGCCCGCATGCCTATAATATAATTAGTTATTGGTAAAGGTTATTACTAGTTTTATATTTTGACTATATTCACATACCCAGTTGTCTGTTCAAAGATGTCATCAATGATTGCCTGTTCAAATTGCATTTTATTATTATCTTCAAATTCTCTAAACACCTCTTGTACTTGTTCCAGGTCAAAATTTGGATTACGGATCGAGTCCTTAATGTTGAAAGGTGAAGTTAAATCTGTGTTTGAAGTTCTAGAGTCTAGATGCAGGATGCTGAATGTACCAATTACAACGATGGCCTGAATAACATAGGATTCAATATTATTCCTGATGGCGCGAAGAGTTGACAGGAAATTGGATAGAAGGCCGTCATCCATTTGGTATATTCTATCGAACTCATCAAAAAAAAGAACAATACGTTTATTAGGATCTTTTCTGGCTCTTTTCCAGCCCACTATGCTAAAGTAACTTAGGAAATCATCAACACGATTTATATCTGCACAGGATTCCAAGTATGCACTAGAACGTTTATAAAGAGAGATATTTGTGCAAAGTGAATTCCAGAAGCCTTCGACATCTTTGACAATATGCTCAAAAGTCACGCTAATTCAGACAACCGTAAAAGAACAGATAAATGGCAAGTTAAGAACTGTACAAAGAGTTTATCTAGCAAGCAAGAAACTGAACTTACTAGTTACACACATATCCGCTATTTTCCAATACCGATATTGTTCTCATTGCGCGTGTAGACTTTCCAGATGCCCGTGTTCCATATAACATTATGAAAGAACGTTTTTCAATTTTCTCAAAAAGTGAATCCTGTTCTTGTCGTTGTTTTCCTTCTGCTACTGGATCCACAAAATAATGATTAGGCCAGTCAGTTTCTCGTAATGTGCTGTTGACCTTCCATGTCTTCTTCACTGATTAAACAAAAATATTTGAAAATTAGACAATGAAAGACATAAGCAATGCAAAGGTCATTTTGTACATTCTTACCTTCTTCCAAAGCTTTTCTTTTTTTACTGAGCACTATTGGTTGGAAATGAAATGATATGAAACTCAATTATCAAGATTTAAGCCAAGACGCGTTGACCAAATTTATTACGACTAATTTACCAGGAACGGGTTGCTCTACGATAACGCGAATGTGTTTGGGCGGGTTTGACGATAGAAAGCAGGAAAGAAAAGCACATGAATAAGTAAGTATTCGGTATTATTGGAGAATATGACAGAGAAGTCGAAAAAAATTAAGCAACAGTAGGAAGTTGCACGAGAATATGTAAGTTTGTGTCGACTGGTTGCAAACGACATTCTCGTCTCTGGTTTTTCCAAGAAGAATATCGACTTTGAACAGTTTAAGTTCCTTTGTCGCCACGCAAGTTTTAAGGTCATCATTGATAGCTTTCTTAAGAGTATCAACATTCTTACTATGTTAATTTCAATCGAGAAATTTTTATTATAAGGATCATCTCCAAAAACAAAGCAGTTTAGTGTTACAAGAAGGCATGGCAAAAATAAATCGAACAGTGCATACAGCTATCCCCAGCGTAATTACCGGCACGTGATCAATTTCTGCTGATTATTTCCAAAAATAGACTATCAAGCTTAACGAAAATTTTTCTTTTTATTTTTTTAAATAAAACCTAGAAAAAGTACTATACGAATTCCAAAATTGAATCCTATATGTAATTTTGCCTTCTTTACAAGTTTACTAATAAGAAAATGGTGATTATGAATACTGTTTTTTCAGTAGAGTTATCTTTTATAAAATATAATATAAAAGTCAAAAAATGCGTTTGAAATCTTCTTTCTATCTTTAAGCAAAATTGTAGAGCATGTAATAATTATTATAGATGGTATAATTTTAAATGCTGAAAAAAGTTTGTGTTAAGTTTTATTTTAAAAAAACAATTTTCGTTAAAAATTAATCTAATTATTTTTAAGTATAATCGATAAAATTGATTATATACCAGTGATTTTTAATAAGGAAGTTGTATTACCTTTACCACCCACGTGATCATAAAATATTTGTTACCCTGCATCACACCCTTTGCATTTTTCATTTTTATAAGTATTCTGAAAACTTGAAATTTTTTCAGAATATGAAATCATATTTGTCACATTTTATTCGTCACATGATTAATTTCTTAATGCCGATATGCCAACCAAAAGTCACGTGAAGTGAAAAACTTAGTGATAATATTGGAATAGCTATTCTGAATCAGATCAGAAAAAAAGTAATAAATCAAATTGTAGTTACAATTGAGCTAAGGTTGCTTGTCTAAACTTATTTTAGATTTGGCTAAATGTCTAAACTATAGTTTTGCTAATTTTTTACTAAGGTTTTGATATAGTTTCATATTTTTATAAGCTTTGATATAGTTTTACCTTTTCCAGAATTTTGCAAATTTTTTAATAAAATTTTAATATAATTTCGCTAAATTTTACCTTTTTTCATTTATATGATTTGCAAAATCTCTAGATTTCGTCTAGCAACCTTAAATTAAGTACAATTTGTATAGTTCAATCATTAATCAATTTAATAACTTAATTAAAGGCATATTTTACAGTTAATCTGATTCAATCTATGTTCATAATATGTGATTCAAATATATGTGTATATTTTAAGAATTTATAAAATATGCATACATTTATTCTGCAATAAATATGATTGGTTAATAACAATCATAAATATTTTTTTTTAATCAAAATATAGAGTATTTATAGTAGGTAATTGAAAAAGGAGAATTGGATTTAGATAAATATTAAAAAGAAAAAAGTTTAATATTATCAAATTTATCAAAAATAGCATTGATTTATATTTGGTTACTAGTAGTCAGAGTTAGTATTTAAAATTTAATATACACTTTATGCACAAAAAAAATTTATATAATATATAAATGTACACAATTTTATGTACAATTTTATATTTAAAAATTTATATAATGCATATATATATAATTTTGTGTATAATTTATATATAAAAAAATTTATAACGCACAATTTACACAATTTTATGCATAATTTTATATATATAAAAAATTTATACAATAGTATATTATATGCAAAAAAATTTATAAATATGTATAAAAAATTTGCAATCTTTTATTTTATTTTTAAAATTTCATTTATTTAATATGACTGATATTATAAAATACTTACTTGACTATAACTATAACTCTAAAAATAATAAAGAAACAGGAATAATTAAAAGAAAAAACCAAAATGATAAAAATACAAATGATAATTATATTGAAAATATTGAAATTAATAGTAAAAAATAGCTAAATAATATAAGTATTAAAAAAAAATAAAAAAAATAAATATACACGTTTAAATAAAGATAATTTTAAATAGAATCTAATCTAGATATTAAAATACCTATGGCTTTATTATAAAAAAAAAATGAAAAAAAGTTTTATTCTATAAAATATGTAAAGATACAGATTGTACTAATATATAAATAACTACTGGTTCAGAATGGATAAAAAAAGATTATATTGAATGACATAAAAAATCAAAAAGCATTAAATACAAAAGATCTAAGTTAATTAAGTATTAAAGAAGATTTTATGCATCAAATAGGTAGCAATCAAGTATTAATCATTAGATGTATATATAACATATATTTATTTGATTATAATTTCCTTTTTATTAAAATTTATTTAACCATTTAGTTGTCTATAAAATTTAGGAATATGATAATTAATTGAAAATATTATATCTTACTGAATTCTTTCACTAAAAAATATATAGTGTATCTTCAATTACTTTTTATCAGAATTGAGATTTATATATTTGACAATAAGTATATTAGTTGAAAAAGTAGCATGACTTGATATATTATCAAATGCAAATAAGGTTTGATATTCTGAAAGCATATTTTAAATATAGATACACTTCTCACTCAAAAGTATTAGACCAAAAAAAATTATTGCAACTTTTAAATTTATGACCAATTTTAATTTTTTAATTATAAAAAAAATTAATAATTGAATTTGGATAATTTTTTTTTATTTTATAAAATTAATATTTAGTTGAATTGCTATTACTATCTATTATAGCTTAAATTCTTCTTAACATACTTTTTACTAAATTTTCTAAAATTTCTGGTTCAATTTCATACCACTTTTCTTTCAAAATAACCATTAATTCATTAAGATTTTTTGGATATAGCTTATATTTACAAACCTTTCTTTCTAAAACATTTCACAGATGCTTAATTAAATTAAGATCAGGTAACTGTGCAGGCTATAAAATATTGGTTATTTCATTTTTTTCTATCCATTCCTTAACTACTTTTGCCTGATAAACAGAAGCATTATCATCTTGAAAAATATAATTTAAATTGATTCCTAACTTATTAATAAAGGGTAAAAAATTATTATTTAAAATATCAATATATACAGAACTTGTTATTCTACCAGAAATTTAAATTAAAGGGCCAATCTTATTTTTAGTAAAATATCCTTACACCATAATGCCTTGATTTCCTGATTTTACTGTAAGAATTAAACAATTTATATCATATTTTTCATAAGAATGATGTCAAACCTAGTGATAAGTATCATTTTAAAATAATAAAAAGTGAGATTTATTATTTTATATTATTGTATCCCACTCAGATTCCCAATCTTTTCTAGTACGACATCATTCTAACCTTTTTTTATGATTTATTTCAAATACCAAAGGTTTTCTCTTTCCAGTATGACCATAAAAACCTTTATTATATAAAGTATGCTTTATAGTACTAGAACTCACTGATATCTGATTGAATTTTTCTGTAATTTCGTCTAAGGATTACAGTCAACTCTTTCTACAACGAATTTTGATATAACGAATTTTACAATACAACGGATTTTCATTGTCGGACAGA